ATACATCTCAAATCCACGTTCAGGTACATTTTGTGTGATATAGAGAGGTTTAGGTCAAGGTCTATGTTTTATTTTTCGCCTGAAGGTGTTGGGTGCCTCAGCACCAGGTGGGTAAAGGCTGTGTCCTCCCTGACCCCGTGCCCTTGTCACAGTGAGTCGCCGTGTTCCTGTTCCGGGCTCTGATTGGCTGTCTTGACCAGGGCTCATCCCCTCACCACTGTCTCCATCTCTGCAGCCTGTGATCAGTTCCAGGACCCATCGGTGTGATTCCTCCGGTTCCATTCCTGCTCCTCAGGCTGCTGGGCCGTGCTCCTCCTCCTGGCTCCCCTGTGAATGTTGGCTCAGCGCGGGGTGCCGGCTGTGGTGACCTGGCCGCCGTCGGGAGGAGCTGCATCCCGGGGGTCCCACTCCACACACGTGACCCTCCCTTGCTCAGGCCTGATTTCTCCTCGGCGTTTCACTCAGGCACGGGCCCTGCTGTTTGGGCAGATTCCTCCCTCTGTGTCATCTTGTATCCACTGTAAGGCTGCTTCGTTGTGGTTTACTGTTGCACCTGATCATTATTTAGAAGGGATTGGAGGAATCACAGCACCAGATTTCAGCTGTACTGCAAAGCACCGTACTCACAACAGCCCGGTACTGCACAAGAACAGGCACATAGATCAATGGAGCAGAACAGAGACCCCAGAAATGGACCCAAGCCATTACGCTCAATTAATATTTGACAAAGGAGGCAAGAACATACAATGGAGTCAAGACAGTCTCTTCAATAAATGGTGTTGGGAAAATTGGAGAGATACATGCAAAAAAATGAAACTAGACCAACAACTTACACCATCCACAAGAATAAACTCAAAATGCATAAAAGACTTAAATGTAAGTCATGAAACCATAAAAATCCTAGAAGAAACCATAGGCAGCAAAATCTCAGACATCTCTCGTAGCAACATGTTTACAGATACGTCTCCCAGGGCAAAGGGAACTAAGGAGAAGATAAACAAATGGGACCACATCAAAATAAAACACTTCTGCACAGCAAAGAGACCATCAGCAAAATGAAAAGGGAGCCCACCGTATGGGAGAACATATTTGGCAATGATACATCTGATAAAGGGTTAATATCCAAAATATATAAGGAACTCATACAACTTAACAAAAGGAAGACAAAAAAAGGACCTAAATAGACACTTTTCCAAAGAGAACATACTAAAGCCAAGAGACATGAAAAAATGCTCAAAGTCACTGATCATCTGAGAGATGCAAATCAAAATGACAATGCGGTACCATCTCACACCTGTCAGAATGGCTGTCATCCACAAATCAACAAATGACAAGTGCTGGCGAGGATGTGGAGAAAGGAACCCTCGTGCACTGCTGGTGGGAATGCAGACTGTGCAGCCACTGTGGAGAACAGTATGGAGCTTCCTCCGAAAATTAAATATGGAACTGCCATTTGACCCAGTGATCCCACTTCTAGGAATATATCCTAAGAAACCAGAAACACCGATCAGAAAGGATGTCTGCACCCCTGTGTTCACAGCAGCACAATTTACAATCGCGAAGATCTGGGAGCAGCCCAAGTGCAGCCCTGTCGCTTGGCAGAGTCATCCCTCAGGGTGTCTTGCACCCACTGTAAGGCTGCTTCATTGTGGTTCACTATTGCACCTCATCATTACATAGAAGGGATTTGGTTTTTCATTTTTTAAAATAAATTTTTATTGACTTCAAAGAGGGATAGAGAAAGGAAGAGAGAAACATCCATGAAGAGAGAGAATCATGGACCGGCTGCCTCCTGCATGCCCCACACTGGGGATCGAGCCCGCAACCCGGGCACGTGCCCTGACCAGGAATCGAACTGTGACCTCCTGGTTCATAGGTTGACGCTTAACCACTGAGCCACGCCGGCCGGGCAGGAATTGGTTTTTTCAGTTGTTCACCTTGTATCCTGCAACGGTACCCAGTTCTCTGAGGGTTTTAGTCTTTATTTTTGGTTGATTCCTTGCAGTTTTCCAAGTAGATACTCTGTTGTCTATAAACTTGGTCAGGCTTATGTTTTGTTCTCCAAGGGGGCGCCCTACGCTGGTGATGACCTCGGCATGGGATGCAGGGGCGGGGCGGGCTTGGCCAGGTGCCTGGTGGGGGCCACGCGGGCGTTCCCCTGAGCGTGATGCTTGCGGGAGGTGTGCTGGGCGGCTGGGTCGCGATGTACAGGTTCCCATCTCCTCTCCTTGATCATGAACGCAGGTTGGATTTTCTCAGGTCCTGCTTTTCCTTGACTTGAGTGATAGGTCCTGTGTTTTCCCTTTAGACTTGCCGTATGGTCAGCGACGTTGGTGTATTTGTCGGGGCTGAATAGCTGACAACCCGAGGTAAACCCTCCTGGGGTGATGTATTGTTCTTCGTGTGTATCAGGGACTCAGCGGCCGATGTCTTGTTGTTGACTCTGCCCGTTCGCAAGGATGTCGGGCCGCGGTTCTCCGTTATCGCGCTGCCTTGTCTGGTTCCTGTCAGCGTCCCTCTCCCTCCGTGTCCGGGGAGCTCGGCTGTGAGGAGCAGATGCAGTGGGGCTGGGCTGTGCGCTCCCCCTGCGCGTGGGTCACACCCTCTGGGGGCAGGTCTGACGGCTCTGCAGCCGCCTGTCTGGTCCTGACGCAGCCCCTGCTCAGAGCAGAACGGTGGTGACTCCAGAAAAGCTGCAGACGTGGTGGGAGCTCCCTGCACTCGTCTTCCCTCTCGGGTTCACGCCTCACGGGACGGGCACCCCTGGCACTGGGTGTCTGAGTCACCTGCAGGCTCGCTTGTTCACCCGGCACAGCCGGCCCAGGGCACCAGGGGTCCCTGTGCTTCGTCTCTGCGTCCGGTGCCCTGTGCCCCTCAGTCTGTCTCCCGACACCGTAGCGCTGGCCCGTCTGCCGGCCTGCTGTCTCCGGCGACACCGAGGGTCTGGGGGGCAGAGGCGACCCCGTGTGAGTGCCTTCTTGTCACACCAGACCCCCAGGTCCCTCCTCGGTCCGTCTCGTGCGTCTCACATTTTACTGTCAGCGGCGGGGCCAGCGCTCTTCAGCACCTGCTCAGCCTCCTCGGCACATAGGCGTCCACCGCGCCCGAGCACAGACAGCCACGTCCGCACAATGCGGTCCCAGCCCCCCCTCCCGTTTCCAGAAACACACTCTTCCCTCTGAGCCCCGCCTCCCAGCGTGCCCGGGCCCCACCCTCAGGACCTCGCGGAACGGCTACCTTCCAAACGCCGCGCCGGACCGCACCTGGGTCAGGGCTTCAGCCCAGGGCGAGGGGCAGGCATGCGGTCCCCGCAGGACCCTCCTGTGAGGGCCCGGGCTGGGGTCACCTCCCACGCCAGTCCCTGCCGAGGACGTCGACGTCGTTTAAGGCCGTGGCCACCGGTGTCTGCAGTGAGCCCGCCATGCTCAGTGCGGGACACAGGGCGGACGAGAGGGCGGAGGCACCAGGGTGACAGCGTGGCACGGCCGAGCTCTGAGCGCGGGCAGCCAGCAGGCGTGGGGGGGTGTGATGGGGGGGATCCAGGACCCTTGGGAGATGGGCCTGCATGCCTCGCTCCAGCCCCAGGCCGCTCCCACGGCACCCGTCCCCCAGTCGCGCTTCTCTAGGGTCCCGCTTGGAGCATGTTCCTTACAGATGCTTTAGGCAAGAGAGCACCCCCTCTCCCAGCGGATTTCTACACACACATGTGCACACATTCACGTGCACATACACTCACATACACGCAACCTCTCACAGCACGCTCACATGTGCACACATTCACGTGCACATACACTCACATGCAGCCTCTCACAGCACACTCATGTGCACACACATTCACGTGCACATACGTTCACATACACGCAACCTCTCACAGCACACTCACCCACATGTGCACACACTCATGTCGACGTGCGCACACAAACATGCACTGTAATCATACATGTGTGCACATACGCACTCACTTCGCATATGTGCGCACACATGCACATCTATACACGTGTACATGTGTTCAGGCACATGGGAGCATACACGCAAGCATGTGTGCACACATGCACTCTCACACATGCGCGTGCACTTTCTTTTAGCCGTTCTCTTCCCCTCCCCTTCGACCAGGTGCCAGGTGCCTGAGGAGGAGGACAGGCAGGAATGCCCCCGTGTGAGATGCGCGGACGGGGTGGTTCGCCGGGTTTGCTCGCACAGCAGGGCGGACTGTGCCGTTTTATTCAGCGTCTGCAGCCGACAGACGCTGGTTTGAATCCAGCCCTCGAGGACATTCACTCACGAGCCTTCAGAATCCGAATGCCCTGTTTTCCCAAGGGCCTCAGAGGCACAGCGTGCCCGAGGGAGGGGGCCTCCTGGAGGGGACCCCACCCCGCACAGGTGCCTCTGCTGGTCTCCGGGCCCAGAGGGAGGGCACTCCCCACCGCCCCCAGCCTGTCTCCGCTGCTCGTCCCACGTGGTGCTCTCGCGCTCCTCGTCACGCCGCCTCGTCGTTTCTGGGACAGTGTCCTCCGCAGGTCCTCTCCCCTGGGCTCCACTGTCCCCCTCGGTCCAGTGTGGTCCCCGGGACTCCCTCCCCATCAGGGCTTCTCCTGCGGAACAGAGGCCGAGGGGGCACCGCCAGCCTCTGCCTGGGCCTCTTACAGGGCTTTTAACGGCCTCCGTGGACGTCAGTCTCATGCATGTGTATTTGGGAACAGAACTGGGGCCTCTCTCGTGACCGCTCTCCCCCGAGGGCGGTGGTGTCACGGCCTCTCCACGCAGGATGAAGGTGGAGGAGCTGGAAGGGGAGCGCAGCCGCCTGGAGGAGGACAAGCGGAGGCTTGGAGGAGCAGCTGGAGCACCTTCACCCTGCAGGTGAGCCCGTCGGAAGCTGGGCCCTCCCGTGTCCCTGCCCCACATCCCCTCCTCTGACTCAGACCTGCGCCCGCGCACATACCACCCGCTCACCGGGAGCAGGTGTCCCAGGCCCCGAGAGGACACCTGCCCACGAGGGCTTGTCCGTGTGTCAGCGCCGCCGCGGGAGGGGTCATGGTGTGGCTGGTCCGAGCCCCGCCCCCGGCAGTGGGGAGGTTGGCCTGCTGTTCACACCGTGCACTTGCGCTGCTTTTGTCTGTCCTCCTGTGTCCATTGTTCTGTGGCAGGAGGCCTGCAGGCTACCCCCACCCAGGTCTGGACAGGCCCTCGATTTTTATCTTGACGCCTACTCGAGGCAAATCCATCCCGTTCTTATTGCCAATTCCTGGAGACGCGGAGGTGACAGCTGTGAGGGAGCCAGGCGCAGTGAGCGTGGCCGGGCTGTGCGCAGCGCCCAGCCTGTCAGCTCAGACCGGTCGTTGGGCCGCGGCCTCTTGGAGAGCCGGCTGCTGGCAGGTGGAGCCCGGGGGCAGCGGCGCTGTCAGAGGCGCCTGGGGACGCGTTCTGGCGTTTTCATCCTGTAGCCTGAGGTCGCTGATGGCTCCGGGCCTCCCCCGTCTGCCCTCAGTGAGTCCCTCGAAAGTCGTTCTTTTTCCTGCTCCGGACGCGGGCGCCCACCGGCAGGGGGCTGCGCAGGGCAGAGGGGCAGAGGCCAGCACTCGGGTGGATGCGGTCTTTCCGGTGGCAGGAGGACAAGAAACTTCACGTCGGGCTCAAGGACGGGTCCAGGTGGCGGGGATGGCGTGCAGAGTGCCGGCGGGTGGAGAAGGGCTTCATGGCGGGTCCGGCCTCTGAGGCCGCAGGTGTGAGCTGGACTCGGCCCCCAGCTGCTGGTGCCAGGGCTTTGCCCTCTGAGCCCCCAGTGTGTCCTTTATGAAGTCGGGGAAGTGACGCCACACGGGGCTGCGAGGGAGACAGGCCACACCTGCCCACCGCGCCCGGCACACAGTAGATGCTCGGTAAACGCTCACGTCGTCTGTTGCCGCTTCTGCCTTTTCCATCAAGAGGACGAGACCTCATCTCTGCCCGGGCCTGGGGGGCAGCAGGAGAGCACAACGCCCTCCAGGTGGCCTGGCCGCGCTCTGCAGGCGGGAGCCCCTCGCCCCTCTGCCCCGGCTGCAGAGCTGCAGCTCGGCCATGGCTGTGGCCGGGGAGCCAGGTGGAGAAGCGGGGAGGGGCCCGCAGCGTTCAGCTCGCCTGGCGTGTGTCGGCCTGCTGCTGAGTGTCCTGTGCCAGCCCCTCCCCCTCCCTCCGGAGGAGTCTTGGGGTTGGGCCGCTTCAAGGAAGATTGATGAAGCTCAGCTGCGGCTGCCGTAATTGGGAGCCTGTGCCCGGAGCTTCTGGGATTCAGCTCCCAGCTGGGCGGGAGGGAGCGGGTGCTCACACGGGCCTGCTCCGGGCCTGGGGCCTCCGGGCGCCTGCGGTGCAGCCTCCTGAGGTGCTGGCTCCCTGGGGTGACCTGTGTGCCCTTCTGACATGGCTCGAGTAGAGCCTCCCAGGAACCCTCAGAAAGACGGGGAACTCGGGGACCCCACTTAGAGGTGGGGAGGCTGAGGCCCACAGTTAGCCAACACTCCATTGACTAAGACACCCTTTTTATTTATTTCTTTCTTTAAATGTATTTTTATTGACGTCAGAGAGGGAGAGAGAGAGAAACATCAGTGATGAGAGAGAATCACTGATAGGCTGCCTCCTGCACGCCCCACACTGGGGATCGAGCCCGCAACCTTGTCATGTGCCCTGACTGGGAATCAAACCTGGAACCCTCAGTGTACAGGCCGACACTCTACCCACTGAGCCACACCAGCCAGGGCTCAGACACCCCTTTTTAGAGGCAGAATGGGGTTTGAACATCCCTCAAATAACGGCACATGAGCAAGTGCTGGGGGCCGGGAGCCGGAGGCAGCGGGGTCCTCGCTATGCCTGCAGCCGGGCTCGGGGAGCAGACTGTGTGAACGGAGGGAACAGTGGGGAGCGTGTGCTGTGCCGCGCCCACCCCCACCCCGCACCTGCACACACCCCGCCTTCCCCGGGCCTGTCCTCTGGCTCAGTGTCTTGGCCAGTGGCTTGGAGGGTGACTGGCCTCAGATTCCCAGAACCAAGGGAATGGCTGCGACCAGCCCAGGAGGGACGCATGTCCGGTGTTCGGACACAGGCGACAGCCCCCGGCCAGGCTGCCTCCTACCGGGAGGGTGACATAGGTGTTCCCCACATTGGTGTTTCTTATGGGCCACGATCGAGGACCGTCCAGGCCACAAGCCCAGGGAGATCCTGAGGTGTCAGGGCAGAGGGCCAGGC